TAACTCCTCATTCAATGCATTAAAGAGATAGCTTCTCCTCTATGGGTATAAATAGAAGAGTTCTCGGATGAAAGTGAACACAAAAAACACAACAACAGAAAAAAAAAAAAAAGTTTCCTCCTCCTTCAATTCCAACAGCCTCCGTTTTTATTTCCTTTTTCTTCCTTTACTAAGTTCTTTATGAGAGAGACACCGCTAGTTCGTAGGCGGTTAATGTAGGCAGCGTGAACCGACAGCCGATTGTATCCTGTGAATCGAACACCGATCATAACCTCTTGCATTCCAGTGAAGCGGCGAATTCAATTTAAGGAAACCGTGTAAACACGGGCTTTCGGTTTTGATTGATCTGCTTTGATTCTCCTATTTTCCCCAACAGATGAAAGTTGAAATTCCATGAAATATATAGTTGAAAATGAGTTTGAAGAAAAATGAATTGAGAAAAAAGGGGATCAAACATTGATAAGTGTCTCCTTTATCGAGGGAACCAAGAAACTTGTGACAAATCAATTCTCAGTCGAACGGGCTAGTTAATCGGCTTAAATATCTTTTTAAAAAAATTTATTTTTTATTTTTTGTTATTTGACTAGTAAAAATTTATGGTCTTAGTTTTGGTTGGTGTGTGTCTTCATCAACTACAACAATGTCAATAAAATTATGTCTTTATGCGAATACATTCATATGATTCTTGGATGTTGAGATAGTTATTGATGCTTCTGCGTATTTATGTGACATTGACATTCTTGTCCAGATGCATGGGCTTATAACTATAAGTCAACTATTTAAATGTTCACATAATTTCGCTCCTTAAAAGAGATTTGAGTCTTAGAAAAATGAATTAGGAACTTAGTACAATAAAAATAGCACGACTCATTTAGGATTTCATAAGTACGTACCCAATGATATTGAAATGTATGTTATATAATTATATATTTTATAGTATTTTAGATCATCGCATGTAGATTGACACATACAATTTTTAAAAGGTTTTTCCCACTATGTACAGAAAGAAGCCCACCAGAATTTGGCCAGAATACACACTAATGCGCTCGACCCACCATGTATTTTTAAAAAATGCACGGGACCCACAAATATGTGTATTCTATTGAAATTAGGTGGGCTTTTTTCTGTACATCCAGCCCTTCTCTTTTTAAAAGGGTGACAATGAGATTTGCATGTTTGAGTCCTTTTTTTTTTGTTTTTTTTTTT